GATGGTATACGCTTCACGGGCAACGATGGTGCCGTCCCGCATCACACCGGACCTCACGTAGTTCGTCACCGGCAGCCGCGGACCATTCATGGTGAACACTTCCTCGCGAGTATTCACCAACTTCACGGGCCTTCCCGTTTTCATCGCCAGTAGCGCGGGGAAAGCCTCGAACGCGAGCCGAAGCTTGGCGCCGAACCCACCGCCCAGTTCCATCGCGACCACTCGGATACGGGATACCGGGATTTCGAGCGCCCCGGCCAACGCCGCCCTGATCTGATACGGTCCCTGGGTGGACGCATAGACGACCAGCCGGCCGTTGGGCTCGACATCCGCCACGCAAGCCATCGGTTCCAGGAACCCCTGGTTGATCCCCTGCGAACGATATACGTCCTCGACCACCACGTCGGCATCCCTGAAGGCCTGATCAACATCGCCGCGGTCGGCGTCCAGCAGGGTGCTCACGTTGTGGCCGAGCGTGAACCCGTATCCCTCGTAACCCTCCAATTCCGGGTGGACCGTGGCCGCTTCAGATCCCATGGCGGACAGTGGGTTGACCACTGCCGGGAGGTCTTCGTACTCGACCTCGATCAGTGCAATGGCTTCTTGCGCGGTGGCTTCGTCGTCAGCCGCTACCGCTGCGATTGGCTCCCCGATGAAGTTGACGACCTCGCGTGGCATGACGTACCGGTCCCGCAAAGCTCCGGAACCGAACCGAACGTCCGGAAAATCCGTCCCGGTGATGACACACCTCACGCCCGGATGGGCGGCGGCTTTGCTGGTGTCCAACCTGACGATACGGGCATGACTGCGAGTGGCAGGCAAAAGCTTGCAGGCCAACATCCCCGGCAAATAAACGTCCGACGCGTAGGTGGCCCGCCCGGTGACTTTCTCATAAGCATCGACGCGAGGGTGATTTCGCTCCAAAACTTTGAACTGTGTTGACATTGAATTTGCCTCCATAGGTGTTGGAGCAGACCGCCTAGCGATTTTCTCTCATTTCCTGGGCTGCGGCCATGACGGCCTCGATCACGCGCGCGTAACCGGTGCACCGGCACAAGTTGCCGCCGATGGCGAACCGCACATCCTCTTCCGTAGGGTTTGGATTGTCTTGCAAGAACCCGGTGGCTGACATTATCAGCCCTGGAATACAGAACCCGCACTGCAACCCACCGTGCTCCACGAACGCTTTCTGCACGGGACTGAGGTTGTCCACGCCAGCCAGACCTTCAATGGTAGTGATGGGCGAGCCGTGGGCGCTGTGGGCCAATACCAGGCATGAAGTAACCGGCTTGCCGTCCATCAGTACGGTGCAGGCTCCGCAGTCCCCTTCGTCGCAGCCTTTTTTGGCGCCGGTCAATTGCGCTTCGTCGCGCAGGCAGTCCAACAGGGAATAGTAAGGTTCCACCAACATCAGCCGGCTCTCGCCGTTGATTGTCAGAGTGAGCGGCTGTTTCATGACGTTAACCTCGTGGGCCGGCTACCATGCGGTTTGCACGGCCAAGCGCCGAATATCTTCAAAATCGGGGATACCGCCGGCGGCAGCAGCAGCAGCGTATCGCAGGGTGCGCTCCGTGAGAACCTGTGCGATCTGCCGGCGGTATTCCGCTCCGCTCCGCACATCAGCGATGGGGCTGGAAGCCTGGCCGGCCAGCCGCGCTGCTTCTGATATGTTTTCTTCAGTAGGGATTTGACCCAGCAAACGTCCCTCAGCACCGTGGGCTCGCATCGGCGTCGGAGCAACAGCTCCCAGGGCGATCCGCACCGAGGAGCACGCGCCGTCGGAGCCGACGCTCACCACGGAGGCAGCGCCCACCGTCGATATGTCCATGGCGCCTCGAGGGCTGTGCTTGATGTACAAGCCGCCGGAATTCGGGGCCGGCGTTGGGAGCCGAAGCTCGGTCATGATCTCTCCGGCCGCGAGCGCGGTTTGACCCGGGCCGACGAAAACGTCGGTCAACGGCAGCCAACGTTCGCCGCCGGAACTGACCACACGACACTGGGCATCGTACGCCAGGAGCGCCGGCAAGGTATCCCCCGCCGGCGAGGCATTGCAAACGTTGCCAACGACGGTGGCCAGATTGCGGACCTGTACGCCGGCGAACGCGGTCGCCCCGGCAGCCAACGCGGGTATCGCGTGCGGACGGTGGCGCTCCGCTCAATTTCCTGCACGGTGGCCATAGCGCCGATGGACAGACCGTCGTCGTCGTTGAAGCGGATACCGTCCAACCCCGGAACGTGCTGCATGCAGACGACCATCTCGGGTCTCCACGAACCGGTGCGCCATCGGACCAGGAAATCCGTGCTGCCGGCGACGAGCCGCGCCCGGGTTTCCGTGCTTCTCCAACATCTCGAGCGCCTCATCCAATGAGTGCGGCTCCAGGTAGTCGAAACGAGCCATCGCAGCCCTCCCCCGCCGATTCCGGTAACACGCACAGTCCGTAAAGGGACGATGCCGTTCCGCGTCGGCCTGCGGCGATTATATGGCGGGCCGAAAATGCGGTCAACGAACGCCAAACGGGAATCAATTGGGGCGGAAACATTCCGCCCCAATGAAACGCCTCACCGAAATGAAGCGGTATTTCCGGTAGGCCTTCAGTGGCTGCCGTTGCCGTAAGGCTCGATCAGCACGCGGAGCGTACCGTCGTTCTCCTTGCGCTGGGTCAACAGCCGGTGACCTGCCTGCTCAGCCCAGTAGACCACGTCGTAAATGTTCAGAGCGTCGTGGAGGATGGCTTCGATGAAGGAAGTACGGTCGTATTCCATCTGACGGCTCAAAGCCGCGATGACACCGGCGCAGTTCTTGCCGCGGCCGTCGATCACCGTCCAACCGCTGCCGTGGCCATTGCCATTTCCGCCCGGGGTCGCGCCCACAGGAGCCCGAACGTCGATCAAGCCACTCTTACGGAGATCCAATTGCTCCTTGAAGTAAGCGACCGCCTCCCAAGCCACGGCACGGTCACGCTCGCCGCTGGAACATACGGCGACCGCGTACCCCGACGATGTCTGGGTTAATGCGCGCCAATTCGTCCAAATTGTCCAGCTTGAGGTGTCCGCTGAGAGCGGTGCTCAACCCGGCCTGCTTGGCCTCCATGACCATGTCCCGCAACACGGGTTCCGGCATGAAGTCGAAGAGGTTTCTGCCGTCCTTGGTGAGAGTGTCGATCAAAAAGCCGTCGCACTCGCCGTCCATCGCCAATTTGACCATGAGGTGGGGATCCAGGCCGCCGTCGAAGAGCAGGTTGTCAGCGAAAAGCGAGCCGATAAGCTTGGTTTCGGAGTTGCCAATGGCAGCGCGGGATTCTTGCAGGACCTCGACCGCCATCTCGTAGTCTGCAACCCGGAAGCCCACTTTTACGGAAGTGGCGTCAAGTAAGGCTGCGGCGTGAACGGCCATCGCCACGGTGCCGGGCTGGTTGGGCACCACACCCAAAGTGACGCTGACATGCTTTTCCGCAGGGATACGGTCGCGGACTTCCCGGACGAGGGTCGGATGACCAGAACCAACCAGGGCTTCCTGGAGGTTTTTGACGTCGATGATGTCGGCTCCGCCGCGGTCCGCCTCCAACGCCTCCGCCATGTTCTGTACGCTGACCAGCAGCATCATGCCGGATTCGGAAAGCCCGCTTCGGCCGTCGCGCACGCCGTTTCCGTTGAGCCTGGGCGCGTGGGCGCGACCGTGAATAACCTCGCGGTCCGGCGCAGTCGGGGCGGCAGCGCGTGGCAACAAGGGCTCCAACTCGCTCCACAACTGGGCCTTCTCATCCGGGGCCAAGTCCTGCAACGGAGCGCGGACGCTCCCGCCGGCCATGCCCATCATCTCTCCCCATGCCTTGCACATGGCCACGGGCAGCGCGCCTCCACTCTTTTTCATCGTACCGCCCCACCATTTGTCGGACAGCGCCTTGATGTCTTTCAAATAGCGGTTGTAGAAGTCGGTATCGAAGTCCCCAGCGGTCGCGCGATCTATGAACTGGGTGTAGTAGTTGTGCCGCGGCGTGTCGAACCTCCAGTCGGAGGTGTTGGCGAACATCACCTGCTGGCGGAATCCCAGTTCCTGCGCCTTGTGGAAAATCCATTCATCCGGGGTGCTGATAATGGCGTCGCGGCCGACCAGGAGATGGGTTTCAATGGAAATCTGCTGATTGAAGCTGGCCTCTTTGACGCCGACGACGTTGGGGATGGCGCACAAACGCTTCAATCCCTGCGGACTGATGGTGATACCAAATTGCGGCGAGTTGTAGAACATCATCGCCAGTTCGGTGTTTTCAGCGACCTGGCGTACGAAGTCGACCACCTGGTCCTCGGTCTTCGTGACCATGTAAGACGGGGCAATAATCAGCAGGTCGAAGCCCCGACGCTCGGCGTGCCGGGCCAGGGAAATGCTTTCCGGCAGCGAGGTGTCAGTCACATGGGCACCGATGAGCCAATGACCCGCAGCCTCGTCAGCCACCGTGTCCATCACGGATCGGCGCTCGCTTTCGGTCAAGCTCCAGAATTCGCCCATGTTCCAGGTGCAACCGCCGCCGCGCACGCCCAAGCTTTGAACGTGGCGAACGTTCCGGCGGAGACCTTCAGTGTCTACCTGGTTGTCCGGCGTGAAGGGCGTAACCAAGGTGGTCCATTGCCCTTTCAAGGTTTGCCAGGCCCATTCCTGCGCTTCGTGCTTGCGGTAACCGGCCATGATAGAAGCCTCCAACGACAATTGCCCAAACTTGCTTACCGACAACGCGGAAAGCCGGCAACGTGTGTGACGGACAGGCCCGCTCGGCGGCACACAGTTTACGGGCCGACTTGCCGCGCCGTCAACAAAAGGGGGCCGGTACAAGGCGCCGGGGAACGTGTCCGCGAAGGCGTTTCTCGCCAAACGCAACAGCCCTATTTTCGGCTCCGTGGTTTCCGCCGCATTGCGCGGGCCGACATCGGCGACAGGTTTGAGGGTATCCGTCCAGGTTTGGCGAGACTTGGATCCGAGATCGGCGGACAGGCAGAGCCGGCCACCTTTACCCGGCCGGTTGGCACGTCGGGCAATACCACGAACTGCGGCCCCGCACCCGTATCATCTGGACCGAACCCTGGCATTTCGGGCACAGTTCGGCGGCCGACCTCGGGACTGACCACGGGGAGAGCGCGACGGGAGGGTCAGGCCATTCGGCGTCCCGGGCGGCAGCATAAGCGGCGACTGAGGTAGATAGAGCCCGAACAATCGCGTCGTGCAGGGACGGCAATTCTTGGTCGGTCAACCCGTTAGCTGAGCGCTCGGGGTGTATCCCTGACAAAAACAGGGCTTCGTCGGCATAGAGATTGCCCAAGCCGGCGATAACGGACTGATCCAGCAATACGGCTTTAATTGGAGACCTGCGGCTGGTCAGGGCTGCAGCAAGCACAGCAACGGTGAAGTCCGGCTCCAGCGGCTCGGCGCCCATTTTGCGCATGGCGTCGGCCGGGTCGGGCAGCAACCACAAATGTCCGAACTTGCGCGGGTCAATGAAACGCATTTCACGGCCGTCGTCCAGCGGGAAGATGTGCCGGACCATCGGTGGCGGGTCGCGCCGGGCGTCGTGGATGCGCAAACTGCCCGTCATACCCAAGTGTAGAACCAAGAATTGATCATCGTCCAAAGGCGCGATCAGGTACTTGCCGCGTCGCAACAGGTCGGTTACGAATCGCCCGGCGACGCCCTCGATGAACTCGCCGACTGACGGCCGGCGGACCGTCTTGCGCCAGGTGATTTCCGGCGCCGAGAAACGGTGACCGACCAGACCGCTACGGAGGAGGTACTGACGAGTGTTTTCGACCTCGGGGAGTTCGGGCATGCCGGGTTAAACGTCAGTCAGACGACGCACACCGAGGGTGACCTCCATGCCCTCGATCTGGGCGGTCTCAGATTTGGCAGCGTCCTCAGCAACCGTGGCAAGCAAGTCGTCACTCAGGGTTTCCTGCTTGATGTAGTCTCCGTGGACGGTCATCACACGCGCAATTTCGTCGGGTCCGTCGTAGTAAGCGATGATACGGTCGGTGATTTCGAAACGCGCATTCTTGCGTAGATTTTGGATCCGGTGAGCGAGTTCGCGCGCCAGACCCTCGTCGGCCAATTCCGGGGTGATGCGAGCGTCCACCGCCACCATGTAGCCTGATTCCATTGCCGCTGAATACCCATCTACTGAAACCACCGCATCCCCGTCATCGGTGGCTAGCTCCTGGGCCCGAACATACAGGTCCCCGTAGCCGTCGGCCGCCCGCAACTCCTTGATATTCAGTTCTTCAAGGATCTGCGGACGCACCTGGCTCAGGTATTCCGCCTCAGCGTCGGTCCGGGTCTTGACCACAACTTCGGCCAGAGGTTGGCGGACCTTCAGTCCGGCTTTGCTCCGAGCCGCACGGCCCATGCTGGAAACGCGTATCGCCAGGCGGGTCGCTTCCATGATGGGACCGTCGATCAGGGCGGTGTCCGCCACCGGATAGGCAGAGAGATGGACGCTATCGGGCGCGTGAGTTTCGTAGCGAAGTTCCAGGTTGCGGTACATCTGCTCGGATACGAAGGGAGCCAATGGCGCCATAAGCCGAGCTACCGTGGTCAAACAACGGTAGAGGGTAGCGTAGGCCCCGAGTTTGTCCGCGTCGTTCTCTGACTTCCAGAAGCGGCGGCGCGAACGGCGGACGTACCAGTTGGACAGCACGTCGATGAACTCGGCAAGCCGGCGTCCGGCGTCGGTCGGGTTGTAATTGTCCAGGTGATCGTCCACGACCTGAACCAATTGGTTGAGTTCCGCCAGGATCCAGCGGTCGAGTTCGGCTTCAGGGCGCCAACCTTCCGGAATTTGGGACGGCTCGAATTCGTCGATGTTCGCGTAGTTGGTGAAAAAGGAGTAGACGTTCCAAAGGGTCAGCAACACCTGGCGCAGGGTTTGCTGGACCAAACGGTCGGAGAAGCGCCGGGGTTCACCGGGATGGGATGCGGTGAAAAGATACCAGCGCAAAGCGTCGGCGCCATGGGTATCGAGGATGGTGTCGGGCTGAACGATGTTGCCAAGCCGCTTACTCATCTTGCGGCCGCGTCCATCCAGGATCAGGCCGAGGCAGATTACGTTGCGGTAAGCCAAGTCGTCGTTGAGCAATGTTGACAGGGCGTGGAGGCTGTAGAACCAGCCGCGGGTCTGGTCCACCGCTTCACAGATGTAGTCAGCCGGCAGGCGGCCGTCGTTGTCGATTTCGGGATTTTCGAAAGGGTAATGCCATTGGGCATAGGGCATCATGCCGGAGTCGAACCATGCGTCCGCTACCTCCGGGATGCGACGCATGACGCCGGAGCACTGGGAACATGGCCAGGCAATGTCGTCCACGTAGGGCCGATGCAAGTCGAGATCGCCCACGTCAATCGAAGCGAGGTCAGACAACTCGGCGAGGCTGCCGACGCACCGGGTGGACTGGCACCCGTCGCAACGCCAGATGGGGATGGGGGTGCCCCAGAACCGTTCCCGCGACAGTGACCAGTCAACGTTGTTTCGGAGCCACTCCCCGAACCTGCCTTCCCGAATATGTTCCGGGTACCAATGGATCTCGCCATTGATGTCAACGAGGCGATCTTTCACGGCGGTGGTGCGGATGTACCAACTGTCCTTGGCGTAGTAGAGCAACGGCGTGTCGCACCGCCAACAAAACGGGTAGGTATGGCGGTAGACTCCTTGGTGATAGAGCAAACCGCGACTGTCGAGGTCGGCGGCGATCTCAGGGTCCGCGTCTTTGACGAACTTGCCGGCGAAGGGATAAGAGCCGGTCACAATCCCCTGGAGGTCCACCGGCTGGATGAAGGCCAACCCCCGCTCGCGGCCGAGAGCCAGGTCCTCGTCACCAAACGCGGGTGCGATGTGGACAATGCCGCTGCCATCATCCATGCTCACGAAATCGGCGGCGACGACATGCGGGGAGTACGAATCGGTGTCCTCCAGCTGGGTCACGCCATCGCGGCGGACGAACTGCTGGATGCCGGAACCAAATTCAGCGGCGTCGTATAAGGGTCGGTACGAATGTCCGACCAGTTCACTGCCCAGTCGGGTTTCGACGACGGAGTATTCGTCGTGCAGGACCTTGAGCAATGCGGTTGCCAGGATGAGCTGATGATCTGCCACTGAGACGACCGAATACTCTGCATCGGGGTCTACCGCCAGGGCGGTGTTGCCGGGTAGGGTCCACGGAGTCGTGGTCCAGGCGAGGAAATAAGTCGGCGCGTCGCCGGGCCAGGCGGCAGCTTCAAATTTGATGAAAACCGATGGATCGGGAGTGTTTTCGCGGTAGCCGAGGGCCACCTCATGGGAGGAAAGGCTGGACACGCAGCGGGGGCAATGGGGGGTGCCGCGCCGGTCCTGGTACAGGAGCCCGCGATCCCACAACTGTTTGAGAATCCACCAGCCGGTTTCGATGTAGTCGTTTTCCAGCGTTACGTAGGGATCGTGCATATCGACCCAATAGCCGATGCGGTCGGTCATCACTTCCCAGTCTTTGACGTATCTGAACACGCTTTCCCGACAGCGCTGGTTGAACTCGGCAATGCCGTATTCCTCGATCTCGCGCTTGGAAGCCAAGCCGAGTTCCTTTTCAATTTCCAGCTCGACGGGCAGCCCGTGCGTATCCCATCCACCCTTGCGGATGACCCGGCAACCTTTCATGGTGCGATACCGTGAGATTACATCCTTAAACACGCGGGCCAAAACGTGGTGAATGCCGGGGCTCCCGTTGGCAGTGGGCGGACCCTCATACATCATGAAGAGTGGAGCGTCCGGGACGGTCGTCCACGGACCGACGGAACACATCGCGTTCCTTCCAATACTGGAGGATCTCGGCATCGAGTTCCGGAAAACTGACCCGGCTGGAAACCACGTCAAATCCTGGCATGGCTGAATTACCTCATCGTAGGTTGCGAATTGGTGATCGCACTGGCTGAACACCCCAAAAACCCGCCTGAACCCCGATTATAGCGCAGGGGGGATTTCACCAATACGCGTGAAAATGATGCAACGGACCGTGTCCGTGGCCAATCGGGTACGACGCGCGAATGGCGGCGGTCACGTAGTCTTTCGCCCGTGCGACCGCGGCGGGCGTGTCCAGTCCGTGGGCCAGACCGGCGGCTATCGCCGAGGCAAAGGTGCAACCGGTCCCGTGCGTGTTCGTCGAAGGGATCCGCTCGGTGGTGAACTCCAGGAATTCGTGGCCGTCGTAGAGAACATCGGTGGGTGGGCCGTCGCGGTGGCCGCCCTTGATGACGACGGAGCGAGCGCCCATGGCCACGATGCGGATTGCCGCCTCGCGGACATCATCGTCGGATTGGACGGGGCGACCTGTCAAATCTTCGGCTTCCGGTATGTTGGGCGTCACCACCGCTGCCAGCGGGATCAGGGAGCTACAGATGGAATGGATGGCCTCTTCGCGGAGGAGACGGTCGCCGCTCTTGGCGACCATGACGGGATCAACCACGAGGTTGACGACGCCGTGACGTCGGATGGCCTCGGCCACCGTTTCCACGATCTCGCTCGAGGACAACATGCCGGTCTTGACCGCATCGGCTCCGATGTCCGTCATTACCGCGTCAATTTGAGCGGCGATGATGTCAGTGGGCACCTCGTGCACCGCGCTGACACCCACGGTGTTCTGGGCGGTGATCGCGGTCAGGGTAGAAGTGCCAAACACACCCAGAGCGGAAAAGGTTTTCAAATCCGCCTGGATACCCGCACCGCCCCCGGAGTCGGAGCCGGCGATGGTCATCACGGTTGGTGGACGCGCGTCGGACACGAAAGGTTCCGCCCCTGGTCTCGGGTTCGTTTAGTCAGGTTCGTCGGGCAACCGCCAGGAGTCATCGCCTTCCTGGCCGGATTCGTCGGGGCCGTCGGGGACGGCAAGCGCTACCGCAACGTCCCGTAGCATACTCGTGTGCTCTTCGTCTGACAGAACACCGATGGGCAACGCCGGTAGGGTTTCGATGTTCAAGCCGGCGCGCACCCCCAAATCCAGCGATAACCTGGCGGCAGACTGGTTGTCCTCAGCTTCGGTGATGATGACGAAATCATAGCGTCCCAATACCGCGTATTGAGTGAGGACCTTGCTGGATGGCGTCTCCGAATCGTTTGCGGAGTCGCTCAGCAGATCCGGATTGTCCTGGCCCATCCGCCGACCGCGGCCCGTAAAGCTGGCGAGCATTATGTATAGAGGCATCGCAGGGTTCCTGATTATCGACGTGCACTTTTCAAAAGAAGAGGTACCGCTGACAAGTATATCATCGGTGAACCCGGCAACCGCGTGGACGCGGATAAGAGGCGATGCTATCATCCCGGCCAAACACGGCAATCTGCGGTGGCCCAGGAGGCAACAATGGACATCGGTTTGAACATGTCAATTTCGACCAATTCGATCGACGTGGCGGACATCGCCGCGAGGGCAGAACATGCCGGGTTCGAGTCCATATGGTTGCCCGAGCACCCGGTAATGCCCGTAAACCCGGTGTCCAAATACCCGGGGTCACCGGACGGATCCATCCCTCCTTCTATGGCCGACATGGGCGATCCATACATCGGGCTGGCCAGGGCATCGGCGGTAACGACCCGGATCAAACTGGGTACAGGGATAACTTTGATTCCAGAGCGCAACCCGTTGGTTCTGGCCGGTGCAATATCTACGCTGGACAGATTTTCAGGGGGACGTTTCATCCTGGGGATCGGAACGGGATGGCTGCGGGAGGAAACCGAAATCATGGGTGGCGACTTCGATCACCGATGGACACAAGCCCGCGAAGCCATCGAGGTGATGCGCGCGCTTTGGACACAGGACTCCGCCGAATACCACGGGCAGCACTACGATTTCCCGCCGGTCCAGTGCAACCCGAAACCCGCCCAGGAAGGCGGCCCGCCGGTGCTTTTGGGAGGGAACGCACGGAACGTGTTTCGCCGGGTCGCCCGATGGGGAGACGGGTGGATGCCTACGGCGGCCAGTCCCGATCAAATTGCCGCAGGAAAGGCTGCCATCGAAGAACTTGCCGAAGCGTCGGGCAGAGATCCGTCTGGCATCGACATCACAGTCTTTGGGCAGGCGGCTGACCGAGACATGATTTCCCGGTTTGAAGCCGCAGGCGCAAACCGCGTGATCATACGGATCGGCGACACGACGGACGCGAGCGCGCTGGACGAAATTGACAGGATCGCGGAGGCGGTAATGTAGCCTCGCGTCACACCCGCCGATGACGTAACGGCCGTGCCGGTAGCCGCTCGCCCAGGGTGGAACACCGGCACGGCATTATTATTGTTATCTCGTACGTTGATACATTGCCAGACACTATATTATATATTCGCAGTTCCGATGGAAGCGTATTGCCATGTCGTAACCGCGTCAGATGATAATGAGGGTGATCCGTTTTTTATTTACGGTAAACGAGATTTTTGAGCTACATTATTCTGAAATACGTATAAAACATGACAGATTGCATGTTTGACTAGTCTTACCCATTTTCCATATATTGGCTGCGCTGCTGCGTGGCCCGGACCGTCGATTTCCGACGCCGGCTGCGTTCAACGTATCCGAACCGCATGGGGATTTGGAGAAAGATCATGTCAATCCGACGGCACTTGAAATTTCCGGGAATCCTTTTGATCACGATGTTGGTTACAGCCGCATTCATTGTCGGGTGCGGTGGAGCGGAGGAACCTACGGCCCCGGCTGTAGAGCAGGCATCCGCGGCTCCGACGGACACGCCCGTGCCTCGCGCCACCAACACCCCGGCAGCGGCCGGCGCCCTTCCCACCCCGACGCAGCGCGCGTCCGTGCTGCAGGCTACGCCCAGGCCAACCCTGGCTCCTCAAACAGAAGGGGAGTTGGTGACCGACCGGCTGATCGTGGTCGCCGACCCGCCATCTCTGGAGTCAATGCTGGACTGTGAAGTTACCGGCTCGGGGGTCCTCAACTACAGGATGTCTGCCGAGTGGATGGTGGACGCCAGCCGATTCGACGGGTCGTACGAACCCATGTTGGCCACGGAATGGGGCATCAGCGCCGATGGGCGGACATGGAACTTCAAGCTGAGACAGGGAGTGCGCTGGCACGACGACTGGGGTGAATTCACCGCCAAGGATGTGAAGCACTCCATGGCGTACTACACGAACCCGGATTGCCGTGCATCGTATTCGGACTATTTCCGCAGCGACCCAGGCGGGGACGTGGAAATTGTCAATGATTATGAAGTCAACATCCACATGAAACGTCGGCCGGCCGTGGATTTTGTCTACTGGTACTCAGGCTACCGTGGGATCCCCCACAGCAGCAAAGCCCAATGGGACCAGTCGTGCCCGAATGGCGAAGCCGATTACGGGGACAATGAAGCTGGTCTCCCGTTGGGATACTGCATACAGAGCCGGGACGCGGTGGCTGAGAAATCGGCACGCACCGGCCCCTACGAATATGTGAGCTTTGAAGAGGGCGTCGGTTGGGAATGGCGGCGGGTTGACTACGACCACTGGCGCGTAAATTCTGATTTCGCCGAGATTGAGATCAAGGACGTTCGCGAGTCGGCGACCCGCTTGGCCATCATGCAAGCTCGGGAGGCGCACATCGCGACTATCAACCGGGCCTTGATTCAGGACGCCATTGATGACGGGCTGGAGGCCGTGGACAGTTCAGTGAGGTCCATAACGGCTTTCGCACTGTTCGGCGGGATGTACTTCTCGACCGGCGTGAAAGGCGTGCCGACCGACCTTTCCGCGGAAGAACAATCGGACATCAGATCGAGTTACGACATCGTAGCCGCCAGGGACGAGAAAATGCCCTGGAACGAGCCCGGTGAAAATGGGAGGCTGGTTCGAATGGCCATGAATAAGGCCATTGACCGTGGCCAAATCAACGACGCTATCTATCAAGGCGTTGGCGGGCGACAATGGGTAGCCACCTTGGTTCCTGATTTCCCGGGCGGATTCAACGCGGATTGGGAAGACAAGTGGGAAGAACTCTACGGATATGATCCTGAAAAGGCTCGTGAGTTGCTGGTCGAAGCCGGCTATCCCAATGGGTTCTCGTTCCGCGTTCCGGTGTTCGTGCTGGGCGGGGGTCCCGGAATTGCCGGACCAGATGGAAGCGATGGCCAAGTTCTGGTCTGAAATTGGCTTGGAACCGCAGCTCGACCCCATTGAGTTCTCCAACTGGCGCAACAATTACCGGGGACTTGACACCGACTGTTGCGTCTACGGGTTCCGCGGACCGGCGGCACCCATCGACACGCGCGTCCACTTCTACTTCAGTTCCGAGCGTTTCTTCAGGGCCTACACCAGCGACGATATCCAAGAGCACAAGAACAAGGCACTGCGAGCCCTGAATGAAGCCGACGCAACAACGGACTGGCAAAAAGTTTCGGACGAAATTTTCTACGAAGTCGGGACTATTCCTGGGTGGACCATGCCGATCAGCGCAACCATCGATCCGGATGTGGTGGCCGAGTATGTCTTCCTGGGGCCGAACCAGGGAAGTTTCATCTACTTGGAATACGTGAAGGGCGTACGTGAATAGCGCCTACCGGCAATTGATGGACGAACCATTGACCCCTGACGCTGCGCCAAGGCTGTGGCGTCAGGGGTCGTGCAGCGCATCACTCTGAACAATCAACCCGTGAGATGCACAGCAGCACGGCGATTTAATTGTCGCTGATGCCCAGCCGCATACCGATCGGGGCAACCAGTTCCAACCGGTCGCGAACCTAGAGGGAGAACATGTCAATCAGACCGCAATTGAAACTTCCGGTAATCGCCTTAGTCACAACCTTGGCCCTCACGACTTTCATGGTGGCGTGTGGCGGGGCTGAGGAGACTACCGCCCCGGTTTCGCAGGCAACTGCGGCTCCTCAGGTGGACGCACCCACCAACACTCCGGTGGTGCGGGCGACCAATACGCCGGCAGCAAGCGGCGCCCTACCCACCCCGACGCAGCGCGCGTCCGTGCTCCAGGCTACGCCCAGGCCAACTGCCGTGCCAACCCAACAGGAAGGAGAGTTGGTTACGGACCGGCTCGTCATTGTGCTGGATCCACCGTCACTGGAATCGATGTTGGACTGCGAGGTGACCGGTTCGGGCGTGGTGAATTACCGGATGTCCATGGAATTCATGGTCGACGCGAATCGTTATGACGGTGAGTACGAACCGACGCTGGCTACGGAATGGAGCATTTCAGATGATGGAATGATCTGGAATTTCAAACTGCGCCAGGGCGTGCAATGGCATGACGATTGGGGCGAGTTCACCGCCCGGGATGTGCAACATTCTCTTGCCTACTACACCAATCCCGAATGTCGTGCTTCCTATTCGGACTATTTCCGGTCCAATCCGGGTGCGGCTGTGGAAGTGGTGAACGACTACGAGTTGAACATGGCCATGCAGAAGCGCCCCGCCGTGGACTTTGTCTATTGGCTCTCCGGCTTCCGCGGCATGCCCATCAGCAGCAAGGCCCAGTGGGACCAATCCTGCCCTAATGGTCAGGCAGACTATGGAAACAACGCAGCAGGCCTTGACTTGGGTTACTGCCTGGAGAGCCGGGACCTTGTGGCGGAAAAATCAGCTCGAACCGGCCCCTACGAATACGTGAGCTTCGAAGAGGGCGTCGGCTGGCAATGGAAGCGTGTCGACTACGACCACTGGCGCGTGAATCCTGATTTCGCCGAAATCGAGATCAAGGACGTTCGGGAACCGGCCACCCGCCTGGCGATCATGCAGGCTCGGGAGGCTCACATCGGGTCGGTAAACCGGGCGCTGTTGCAGGACGCGATAGATGATGGCCTTGAAGTGGTCGACTCATCGGTTACGGCCACCATGGCTTGGGCAATCTTTGGTGGTTTGTACTACTCCACGGGCGAAACGCCAGAAGGGTACGTGGAGGAATACGATATCGTGGGCCATCGGGACGAAGAATTGCCGTGGAGCATTCCTGGCGAAACGGGGCGCACTGTTCGCATCGCCATGAACAAGGCGATCGACCGCGAGGCTATCAACGAAGCCATCTTTGGAGGCGCCGGCGAACACCATTGGATCGGCGGCATCGTGCCCGACTTCCCGGCCGGATACAACCCGGCATGGGAAGACAAGTGGGACGAATATTACGGCTATGACCCCGAGGCCGCGAAACAGTTGCTGGCCGAGGCTGGGTTCCCCAACGGGTTCTCGTTCCGAGTGATTTCGTACCCCCTGGGCGGAGTTCCTGAGATCCCGGACATGCTGGAGGCGATGTCCGCGTACTGGTCTCAGATCGGGCTGGAGCCGGTGATCGAACCCATCGAGTTCTCCAACTGGCGAAACGAGTATCGCGGCCTTAACACCGACTGCTGCATCTACCCGCACCGCGGTCCGGCCGCGCCCATCGACACCCGCGTCCACTTTTACTACAGCGCGGAACGCTTCTTCCGCATGTACACCAGCGACGACATCCAGAATTACAAGGAACAAGCTCTCAGGGCGTTGAATGAGGCAGACGGCACTCATTTGTGGCAGAAGGTCTCGGATGAGATATACGAGCAGGTTGGCGTGATACCGGGTTGGACACTTCCCATCAGCGCCACCATTGACCCCGATGTCGTGGCCGAGTATGTCTTCCTTGGCCCCAATAACGGGACATTCATCTACCTGGAATACGTGAAGGGCGTGCGTGAATAGTGCGAGCCGGCGTGTTCTGGCAATCGCCTCGGACGCCGCGCGGAGGATGCGGCGTCCGGTGTAAGCCAGCGCCACGCACTGAAGATTCGGACGGATCTACGGATGCCGTTCTACCGACGGGATTGTAAGTGGGGTCAGTAACATGCAGCGATTCATTGTGCTGAGGATTTTGCAGGGACTGCTGGCGGTGTTCGTCATCAGCCTGATCGTCTTCGCTCTTTCACGCGTGGCGGGCGACCCGTTGGCGGCGATTCTGGACGACGAAGCGGGCAAAGAGCAGATTGAAAGGCTCCGCCAAAGCTGGGGCCTCGATAAGCCGATTCATGTCCAATACTTCACTTACATGCGGCGTCTCGCGACCGGAGATCTGGGAGTGTCGTTCCGGTGGGATCGCCCAGTGCTCGAGCTGATAGCGGAGCGGTTGCCGGCAACGGTTCAACTGTCGTCGTTTGCCCTGGTCATCACCGGGATAATCGCTTTCCCCATCGGGGTTTTATCGGCGGTGAAAAAAGATTCCTGGTTTGATGCGGGCGGGAAAATGTTCGCCATTTTAGGACAATCTGCGCCGACATTCGCCGTAGGTTTGATCTTGATGTGGCTATTCGCCGTCCAGTTGGGCTGGCTGCCGACGTCGGGTAGAGGAGGCATTAAACACATGCTCCTGCCCGGCTTCGCTCTTGGCTACTACAACGTGGCGGCGATAATGCGTCTAACCCGTTCCTCGATGCTGGATGTGCTGGACACGGAGTACGTGAAACTCGCCCGCATCAAGGGCATACCCGAGTGGAAGATTGTGTGGAAACATTGCTTCCGCAACGCGTTGATCGGACCATTAACGTATTTCAGCCTGATCTTCGCGGTGCTGATCACCGGCTCGGTGGTCATCGAAACGGTGTTCGCCTGGCCGGGGCTGGGTCTAATGGTCATCGAAGCCATCAACTCCAAAGACCATATCGTGGTCCAGGCGGTGGTGATGCTGTTCGCGCTGCTATACGTCGGGATCAATATCGTCACCGACATCACCTACGCCTACGTCGACCCGCGGATTCGCTACGCTTAGAGACCCGCGCCCATTTGGCGGCTTCACGCCGGCCAGATCATGATGTGGTAAAGCTTGAGGGGAGAAACTAATGGCTGTTCAAACAAGCGCGCCGTCAGGCGGCCCTGCCGGAGCAGCGGCCAGAGCTGCCTCCAGTACTCGAGGTATATCTCTGGGGCAGATTTGGGGCGAGATACGCCGATTTCCGGTGGTGCCGACGTTCATCCTGCTTTTCTTGCTCATTATCCCGGCGATATTTGCTGACGTCCTGTCTCCCCATCACAGTACGATCGGCGATCTGGACCGGGCACTGGAACCGCCGGGCTGGGTTTCGGACAGCGAAAAGAGCCAGGTTGTGGTGCAGCGCGTGCGGGACAAGAACCCCAATGAGGTCAGCATCAACAACGCCCGGCGCAACCTGGAAAGCGGCGTTGCCACCCTGGTGGACGCTAACGGAAACGGCGAGGTGGACCTGGGCGAGACCGTGGTCCGCATCGCGGAAGGCGGCAGTTGGGAATATCCCTTCGGTACCGACAAGCAGGGCCGGGATGTGCTGAGCCGCATGATGCACGGCGCACGCATCTCCCTGGCGGTTTCATGTCTGGCCATCTTGGTGGGAGGGATTCTGGGCACCGGCCTGGGGATGCTGGCGGCGTACCGTGGCGGTTTGCTGGATGCCGTGCTGATGCGGATTGTAGACATCAAATTAGCATTCCCTTCGATTCTTTTGGCACTAACCCTGGTGGTCGCCATCGGTTCCGGCTTCAGCACCGTCGTTGTTGTCATCGCACTGCTGTTGTGGGCCCGATATGCCAGGGTGATTCGAGGGGAAGCGCTGGCGATTCGGGAACGGGACTTTATCGATCGGGCGAGGGTCGCCGGGGCCTCAAACACCCGTATCATGCTGCGCCACATTTTCCCGAACGTCTTCAACACGGTGATTGTGCTGGCGACGCTGGAAGTGGGGCACGTTATCATTCTCGAAGCCACGTTGAGCTTCCTGGGCGCCGGAATACCACGGCCCAACCCCGCATGGGGTTTGATGGCTGCCGACGGGCGCGAGGTGATCACCAGCTCCTATTGGATTTTCATGTTCCCCTGTTTGGCGATTGTGCTGACCGTTTTGTCCATGAATCTCTTGGGCGATTGGCTGCGCGACCGGTTGGATCCCAAGCTCAGGAACGTGTAACCGGCGCTGGTGCAGTCAGGTCTGGATCAGGACACGCTATAATCCCGGCCAGTGATGGTGGTTGTTCAGGGTCGCGATATTGCCTGTTGCAAGTACGCAACCCTGAGGATCCGCTAAGTGGTCCAAATCTTACCCAGGGGACCGTTTTTGACACTTGCAGGGCGAATTCCCGTATACTCCGCACAACCATCCTGGCGTAGGCCAACGCAGCAACCAAACCCGAGTTGGGGGAAACGAAGCTATGACCGCTGTACAAACCGCCACCGATACGATTCTCGAGGTTAACAACCTCAAGACCTACATTTTCACGCGAGCGGCTACCGTAAAGGCAGTCGACGGAATCTCTTTCGATTTAAAAAAGGGAGAGACCTTGGGCATCGTGGGTGAATCCGGCTGTGGCAAGACGATGACAGCACTGTCGTTGTTGCGTTTGGTGCCGAGGCCAGCCGGGCGCATCGTCGAGGGCGAGATAGTCCTCAACGGTGAGGACATCCTGCAGAAAAGCGAAGACGAGATGCGAGACGTTCGCGGTCGACAGATTTCCATGATCCTCCAAGACCCTCAGACCTCGTTGAACCCGGTGTTTACCATCGGGAACCAACTACGGGAAGCTCTGGGGATCGCCCACAGAGAAAACAAAAGTTCAATGTTGTCCCGGGCGGTCGACGCCCTGCGTAAAGTCAACGTGGCGGCGCCGGAGCGCCGGCTCGACGACTATCCGCACCAGATGTCCGGCGGCATGAAACAGCGCGTGGTGGGCGCCATCGCGATGTCATGCGAACCTGGCATCATCATTGCCGATGAGCCCACCACGGCTCTCGACGTCACGATTCAGTTGCAGTACCTGCGCCTGCTCAAGGAAATTCAGGCTGAGACCGGACTGGCGATCATATTCATTACGCACGACTTCGGCGTCGTGGCTCGCATGTGCGACCGCGTCGCGGTGATGTATGCGGGTCGGATCATCGAGCAAGGAGACGTGCGGGACATATTCAGCAGACCGGCGCACCCTTACACCCAGGCATTGATCAATTCCGTGCCAAAGCTGGAGGAGCGGGTCGACCGCCTGTACTCGATCGAAGGACAACCACCGTTGTTGTCCAATCTGCCGGAAGGCTGCCGTTTCGCGCCGCGTTGCCCGTACGCCACCGACCGTTGTCTCGAGACATATCCCACTTCGTCCCAACTCGCCGAGGCGCATCATGCCGACTGCTGGGCCCTGCACTCGGATTGGGAAGGAACGCCCATAGCGGAATTCGTGCCGCCGACCGGTTCGTCCGGGTAAGCTGTGCTCACCACTGCAACCAGCAATAACCGACAGAGGAGGTCCCGACCACAATGGCAGTCGCTACTGACAATTACCTGCTGGAAGTCAACGGCCTGAAAAAATATTTTCCGGTGACCAAAGGTCTCATCATGATGAAGACCATAGGCTATGTCCAGGCCGTTGACGGGATTTCTTTCAATATCAAACAGGGGGAAACCCTGGGCCTGGTGGGTGAATCGGGTTGCGGCAAAACCACCACCAGCAAGCTGCTGCTGCGCCTGGAGAAGCCTACGGAGGGCGAAATCCTGCTGGATGGCGAGGACATAAGCACCTTCCGGGGTTCCCAACTCCAGGAATACCGCACTACTGTGCAGGCCGTTTTCCAGGATCCTTGGTCCTCGCTGAGCCCGCGGATGCGGGTTCGGGATATTGTATCGGAGCCCTTGGTGGTCAACCGCAATGTGACCACGCAGGAGAAAAACGAACGCGTCGCCGAGGTGCTGGCGCAGGTCGGTCTTCACTCTCAGCAAGCCAACAACTACCCACACGAGTTCAGCGGGGGACAAAGGCAGAGAATTGCGGTGGCCTCTGCCCTGGTGTCCTACCCCAAGTTGATCGTTCTGGACGAGCCGGTTTCCGCCCTGGACGTATCGATTCGGGCGCAGGTGATGAACCTCCTCAAGGATTTGCAAGAGCAGTACAACGTCAGCTACCTGCTCATTGCGCACAACCTAGCGACGGTGCGCTACATGGCGCACCAGACGGCGGTGATGTACCTGGGGCAGATCGTCGAGTATGCTGACACTGAAGAACTGTACGGCAACGCGCTGCACCCGTACACCAAAGCGCTGTTCTCCGCCGCACTCCCCTCGCATCCAGACCTCATACGGGAGGATATAGTTCTCCAGGGTGAGGTTCCGTCACCCATCAACCCGCCCAGCGGTTGTCGATTCCATCCGCGCTGCCCGTTTGCGATGCCCCAGTGCTCGGAAGAGGTCCCGGTTGAGAAAGAAGTATCGCCGGGCCATCGGGTTTCGTGCCACCTCTACTGATTAATCGAGCCCAAATACAACAAAAATCGCCTCTGTCCGAGTTCCGGACAGAGGCGATTTTATGTTTGGGTTGGAGAGAGCCCTACTCGATGCCATACACATTCCCGTCGGCGGTGCGTACGATTAACAACCCGTTACTGACTATCGGCGGGATTTTGATGGGCGATCCCAGATTCATGACCCAGTTTTCCTGTCCGGTCTCCCGGTCCAGGGAATACAAAGCCCCCGATTCATCGCCAACTATCAGATGGTTTTTTATCACGAGCGGCGAGGCCCAGACGTCGTCCTCGGTTTGGAAGGACCAAAGTAGATCGCCGTTGTTGGCGTCCAGGGCGTAGACGCTGTGATCGTGTCCGCCGACGTACAAAACGCCGCCTTGTTCATCGTCGACGAGAGCCGGGCTACTCTTGACGCCCTGGAGGGGATTTTCCGGCGTGAAACGCCACAGCCCGCCCTGTTGGCCTTTGGGGCGTGGTACGCCGGGGACCTGCCAAAGCCACAGCTGAGCCCACAGTTGTTTGAACTGATAAAGGCCCGGTATTTCTCGCCGTGTGGCTTGCACCGCGTACAACTGACCACCGGCGGTGAAATATGCGCGTTCACCGTCTTCGGATACCACCGGGGATCCAGTGATGGCTCGTGGAGTCCGGAAGCGGAACCATTCCTGGCCGGTACGGGCGGATAAAATGTAGAACACGCCCTTTTCGTCCCCGATGAACAGCTTGCCGTCGTGAATGGTAGCGGCGTCGCTTGCGTTGCTGTCCAGCTGCTTTTTCCAAATTAACGCTCCGTTATGGGCGTCAAGGGCGTAGATCCAGCTCTCTCCTGAGCTGATGTAAACTAGGCCATTGGACACTACAGGTGCGGTTTCAACCGTGTCCACGGCGGGAAAGCTCCAACGCACCTGGCCGTCGAACGCGTTCCATGAGCTTACGGTATGGTCGGTACTTCCGAAGAACAGATACAGGCCAATAACCGCCGCCCCGCCGGTAATCCTACCCGGCGTGTCTCCTTCCCATTTTTCGATAAACGATAGATCCGCATGGGATAAAGCGTACATGCCTTCGGACGAACCGAGATACACGTGAGTATCTTGCGCGACCGGTTCGGACAGCAACGGGTCGCCGGGGACGTCGAAGTTCCAGAACCGGATCTGGCCCGAAGGAGGAGGAGGACCAATGTCAACTCGGCGACTGTGCCGTAAGTCCCTCCCCACGCCCGTCCATGACCCGGGACCAGCGTCTATGGTCAACTGGGTTTGGGTCTTTTTGAACAACACCACCGGGTCGGGCGCAAACGGATAGTTGACCCAGATTACGAAAACGATAAAGAGCGCGAGCACGCAGGCGCCGATGATGCGCCGCCACGAGAGACGGCGTGTGAACCAATTGTGCCGACGGTGTTGCGCCCAGGAAGGCACTCGCACAATCACCCGGTTGCAACGCTCATTGGCGCACCGGGAACCGACGCGCTGATTTTCCGCGCCGCAATACGGACAGGTGAGCTGCAACGGATCGTTGACCAGGGCGTCGTCGTCCGTGATTTCGACCATTGGCGGTTCCAGCACGCCGACATTACCGTCTTCGCGCCGGCGGGGGGTTGGGAAACTGACCTCCGGTTCGGTTGAAGCCGCAACGGTTGTTTCCCAAACCGGGCGATCGTCGAACGCGGGCTGGGATGACACGGGTTCACCAGCCGGAGCGACGGGGAACCCGCTCGATGCTGGAACAGAAGGAGGAGCTTCGTCTTCGTGCTCCCGGTTGGGAGCCGTGAAAGGCGCTACTTCGGGAGCTTCCGAGTAGGTCTCCGCCGGCGCCGGTTCCCGGGGCTGGCGTGAAAACCTGCGGAAAATGTCGCGAATGCTAGGCATGGGTTACTACGATCCCATCAGATGTCTTGAGGGCCAGCCAATTTTCCTTGGGTCAATTTGATACCCCGGCCAAAGAAGATGCCCAGCCCGTGAGAGGACATGCCTTCCGCTATGGGATCCAAAAGACTTTCGGCGGTGGCCCCATATCGGTTGACGTGCATGGAGGGGTCATGAATTGTGGCCACGGTCACCGTCGACTGTTCAGCGGAAGATTCATGGCTAATGTGGAACGGCTCCCATGGGCTGTTCTCTGCATCCTCGCCGATGACCTCGCCAAACTCGGTCAAGTTGACCATACAGCCACGGTCGAAGACGCCGGGTCGCCGTTCAAATACATTGTTGAAGATCAACCGGAGCGCCCGCCCGATGGCGGAATTGGCTCGCTTCCCGGGACTGAACAGGTTGTCGGCGCAGTTCAACTCGATCTCGCGGCGGATGGGACCGTTGATCGCAACGGGCAGGCCGGCGGAATTGGTCACCGCTGACACTTCGTGGATGCAATTTAGGTCATGCTCAAATAGGACACGCAGCGTGGCCAGTTCTATGGGGAAATACGACGGCAAACAACCCGCCATCACGGCGTTGGCCGCCGCTTGCTCAGCCGTCATCGTCCGGCGACCCACTGGGACTTCACCCAAAACGGGTTGGGGCTCAAGGCCGGCCGCTTCAAGCATCGCCCCGACACGATCAGCGGTCGGAGGTACAACCGGCAGAACGTCTGTCCGGCCTCGCCGATAGCATTCTTCAATAGCGTCCAGAGGATCAGGGATCGCGTGTAAAGCCGCGCGCGGCGCCGGTTCGACCATTACCATCCTGCCTGCCAGTCCGCTTGGTGCGCGACCAGCTTGCTTTCGATCATTCTAACAACGGCTAGTCAACTATCTCAACTTAGCGCAGAGCGCGTCTCGCTTCATTGTGCAGGTAGCTGGATGCCAATTTACGCTGATGGCCAATGTACTCGGGCGTTGGACCCGTCGGCCAGCAGGACGGATGACGGGGGTTGAGACATGACATCCCCGAACTGGCGACCATACAAGGTACGGGCATCGCACTCCAACTTATGGTTGACAACCGGCGCCAGTGCCCACGCGTCTCTCGAGATTCGGTACGTTCGAGTACGCCCAGCGGATTGGCCGTTGTATCCGTAGTACCGAGCAGTGAGGAATTCTTCCAACGATCCGGCTTTCGCCGGGTAGGGGTCGCCATTGGCGGTGACCCAAATGCCATCCTCCCTACCACCGTTTCGCCACCCATAGTGGACTCTTTGTAGGCCGCATCCATCCACACGTTCTTCCGGGTCAAATTCGTGGCGCATTGCCGTAGACGACATGGGTTCTCGGAACAGATAACGGCCTCCCAGCGAGATCAATGGATGCGCAACCAATTGCCGCAAGAAAACGACACCCGTCGGTGGTCACCTCCGCGCGTCCCGCGAACGTAGAAACGGAGGTTCACTTCCTCAAATCGCCGTGGCAGGGCCGGCAATCCCAGTACACCCAAGCCATCGACTAATAGCGCCACGAGACTGATGTAAGCGCTGCCGTTCCAATAATCGAGGACCACGCCACCGGGCAAAAAGGGGATCAAATGATGGTCGTCAATAGGCCAGGAGAAAATGGCCACATTCCGCCAGCGGGCGGTTATTGGGGGTAGGGCACCACATCCGATCGTAGGATACTGCGCGTCTGATCTGGGCCGGCGGGAAGACTCGCATCCACGCCGGCGGGCTACTGACTAGGTCAGACTTCGAGGCGTCGTTCCAACCGCCGTTGCTGAGGGAAATAGTCAGATCGCCGCGGGTACGCTCCAACAACCCCCCGCATTGCGTCAGTGCGTGACGGAGACGCCACCGGTGACGCCTTCCGGGAAATCAACCGTACCAGGATGCCGTAAATCTCGTCCATCAGTTCCTCATCAACTCTTCACAACGCGGAGGTTTCGTCACGGCGCAGGGCATCCAGGATGTAGCGGCGCAATTCACCGATCACCTCTGCCATCCCGTTTAGGTAAGCCGGCGGGTCCATATCCAGCGCCTCGGCGTCCGGGATTTCGCCATCCGAAATCACCGCCAACGTTATGTTCGCTTCCGTAAATTCCTTGCGCGCGTCGGAGAGAAAGCCGGCGTAGTAAATCTCCGGGTTGTCGGCGCGGATGCTGCGGGTCTCGGCGAGACGCGACCCCGCTTCCGCGATCAGACGCCGGGCCTCGTCGAAATCGTTCCGGTGAACCGCCCGGATCGCGTTGGCGGAGTTCCGGATAACCTGCCGAGAAACCCCGAGCGCCTGCTCCCGGGCTCGATGCCGGGCCGACAATTCTTCCACGGCCTGAGCGGACAGGGCCGCCAGTTGCGGGCCGTAACGGGTTGGCATGACAGAAAGCCGCTAAACGCGCCCGCCGGCGGCGCGAATTGCTTCGGTCAGCGCGGCCGCAGCAGCTTCGGGTTCGGACGCGCTTCCAACCGCCGCGGTGACGCAGATTGCGTCGGCGCCGGCTTCCACCACTGGGGCGACATTCGCCGCCGTGATCCCGCCTATAGCCACCAACGGCACCTGGGCAGCCGCACGCGCCTGCTTCAAACGCTCGGGGCCCTGCGGCGCGCGGGTGACCTGTTTGGTCGTCGTGGTGTACATCGCGCCAAACGCGACGTGATCCGCGCCCATGTGCTGCGACTCGATGATCAAATCTATCTCACGGTTGGAGCGGCCCAGCACTTGCCCCGGCGCCAGAACCTTGCGAGCCTCAGCCACGGGCAAATCAGTTTGACCAACGTGCAATCCCACGTGATCGGGCCCGAGAGCGGCAGCCAGATCCGCATGATCGTTGATGATCAGCAGGGCATCGTTGGCGGCGCACATGTCGCGCAGCGCCGTACCGAGGGGTAGTTGTTCCCCCTTGTCCCGTAACTTGTCACGCAACTGGAAGAGCGAATCCGGCCCGCGTTGATAGCCGCAGCGCGGGCGAGTTTCGAGTGTGATCGCGGCACCAGGTCACTCCGGTCTATTTCATCGTAGAGCCACGAATGCGATCCGCCTGCGCCCGCCTCAGTTGCGGCGGCCGATCCGCTCGATGGCGTCGTCAAGGGGCGCGGACGACAAAACTGCAACGCCCACCGGCGGGGATTCCTGCGCGACCGCCAGGATATCCATCAAAACACCGCGCGGCCTCCGCCATCTCCAGCACTCGGAATCGATTCTGGGTCGCGTATGGAGCGGTGAGTGGACTGCCGGTTGGGTCGCCTCAGGTCATCGCCCACATCCGATTTCGCGCGCATCAGGCCTTGAGGACTGCGTCAGACGACCACCATGCGTGGCTAGGCAAGGCGACGAGCGCGACATTCGATCGGGGCGTCGCACTGCGATCGCTCCGTCACAGTCCAATCCATTGGGTCGTCTCCGCTCCGATCGGAGCGAGAGGAAGTCTATCGATTCACGGACGTGTGTCGTCGGCCAGGAATTTCCACTCAGTGACGCGTGAATGCTTCTTAAAAGCACGTGTCGGCCAATGTTCCTGGGGTCACTGTAGTACCTTAGTCCGGGAAAAAGCTGACAAATCTCGGGCTCGCTTCGTGCAGATTGCCAGTGGTTTTGCCATCGCAAAAGTCGACATCCGGCGACTCCACGTCATCGCCTGCGCAAGCGTCGCAAACGGGCCGCCAACCGGTGAGTTCATAGAGCGCACAAAGATCCGGAGAATAGCCGGCACTGGCCACAACGGTATCGAGATAGGCATATTGTCCGTCCGCTAACTTAATTGGGAGATCCTGAAACGCGTTGCGTGGTGGGGGAACAATTGGCCACTCAGCTGTCGGGTGAGTGATTTCGTGCCGGTGTTCCTGGAAATCCGTGTTAACCCTGCCCCGCCCATCGCGCTCGCCCATGCGGCCATGTGTCCGCGATGATGACGAAAGGTGGTGTCGTCAATGTATGCCCGAACGGCCGTTGTCGGGCATCCAGTTGAGGCTATGCCACAGGAGCCGGTTTGTTTATTGAATGAAAGCGAACCCCGACACCCAACCGGTTAAGGCGGATGCCGTTGCTCCGTTGCAGTCCATAGCGTCAACGGTAGATCAACTAACAATCGAACACCAGAGGGAAGCTGTGCGACACTGGTTGTCGGAATATTCAGTAAAGCAGCATACGCACAGGAGTATTGTAGAATAGGCCGGAACGTTCTAGGGAACAAAAGTAACGCTTATGTATATGCGGCGACAGTCGTAAGCAGCACGGCAACCGCCGGTGAATTCGCGCACGGAGGAATGCTGATGTCCAGCGCCACAACCAGATGTCGACTTTGCAGAGGACCTTTCAGCCGCGGTGACTAGAAAAGTCTCGTTGTCTGCTGACTCGATCGACGGACACGCAATGGTCACCGTCTCTTCAGGGCAATCAGCGCCGCCGCCATTTGACGGTGTCTCCTGGCGAGGATCCTGTCACGGGCGTCTTTTTTCTACGGGTTTGCCAGCGTTCCGTTTTATGCGGGCGCTACAAACGGAATGGCAACAAGCACGTCGCCGTCGCTTTCGACACACACCGTCTGCACCAACTTCCGCCACGACGCTCCCGGCATACAAGGCGCAACGGCCGCCCACGCCTCATGGACACTGTCAGGGGTCAGTTCGACCCGCGTGATGAAGAGTTGATGGCAACGTTCTCACGTGAACCGATTACGAATTGCAAGACCAACGACAAAAAAGGCATCCGAGGCCGACGACGTCCATGGCACGCGTTTGCGGCAAAGCGAGTGCCGGCGCATGTGCCACGGTGATTCGTCACCGGAGACCGCCGCGGACACTTTCCAGCTTATTCCCCGCTGATCTCGCGTGGACCTGGCCAGCAGCGAGCGCGATCGCGGATCGTGGACGAGGAGGAACGATTGCGCCGCAGGTACGGCGGGCTCTTACGGCAGTCCCAGCAGAACAACCAGCCGGATTACAAAGCGCTGGGTGGCGACAAGTACTGGACAAGCATTACCCGGAATTCCGGCGTTGGGGACAAGACGGAGGCGACACCCTGCTGCAACTACACGCGCTGACAGCGGGAAAGCATATACGAGAATATCTGTGAACGAGATCACTCAGAAGAGGGTGCAGCAACAACCTGGCGCCCGACGAAGACGGGGCGTTTGACCCACTCACTCCGTCTCTTTTTCAACCCTTCCCCACCTGTGTTTTTATTACTCCCCTTTCCTTTCCCCCCCTCACTTTTTAGCCCACCCTTCGCACCTCCCAACGGCGATTCGCGACTACGCTAAGATATGTCCCGCAAGCCTGACAAGTTCGGGCGGACACTACCGAACTTACGACGTCCCCGGTCGGCGCCTGATGACGCGGCCCTGGAATTCCACAGCATAGTGGGACGAGGCCTTCACCTGATTGCGGCTGGGCTACAGTTTCGGGATAGAGCCGGTCACGCTCCCGTCCAGGCGGCCGCCGAGGTCGGACGTGGCGAGGACTACGATTACCGCGTGTCGTCGACGGGCGAAACGCCGCCAGAATTGGCCGCGATGATTCGCCGCCACTTCCTGCGGCCCAACCACATCACCCAGGGCGACCTCGGCGTGGCCTTTGCGTTCGAACACCGAGGCCAGCGGGACTGACCAAAATGTCGGCCGAGAGTTGGCCGGCGGGATTGCATTGAGTTTTTCATCGCAGGCGGGACGTCGTGGGGTACGTACCGGTAGGGACAAGTCGGAAACAATTGCCCTTGGACGAGGGCGGCCCCCCCGCCCGCCCCCCCCCGGGGGTCGCCCCGCCCGCCTCCCCCCCTGGCCGCCGTGCCATCTGGTGACGGCTGCGCCACCCCTGTTTACCGGGTGAAGGTCTAAAGCGCGTCGGCCCACAAAGCCAACTATGATCTGACGCTGCTAAGCAACTATGGAGTGACCCCCATACCAGGTGTTGACCACGACCACATGATTGACCTACTAGCTCACCTCCTGGGCAACGGCCGGGTGGGCCTGAAACCCTTGGCCCTTTCAATAATCGGTCGGGAAAGTGAGACGAGTCACCAGAAACTTATAGGGAAGGGCAGCCCGCCAGATACTTCAACCGAGGTGAGATCACCGATGGCGCACGTAACGCCTCGCCCGGCCCGGACGCTCCGACTGCCACGTCTGTGACCCGATTGAGGTCGGCGACTTTGGACCCTGCGCCACCACATCGGCACCAGTCACTCAAGGCCTCGCCACCGTCGACACCCAGGCTTCTCGCTGCGATCCCAAGAGCCCCTGGTGAAGACAAAATAGACGCTGCCGGACCCCGGCCCTCTGGCCCTGTGCGTCGAGATGCCAGGCCGCGCGAACGGGGACGTCCCCCGGTTGGACGCGCGGCACTTCACCCCTCCACCCTGAGATGTCGCACGGCCGACCTGCCCCCGCCACCGAACCCAAACCCCCCTGGAAACACACCCCCCGAAGCCAGCGGGACATTTTAAGATCTAGGGCCGGCCCATTTACATTGCGTCAACATCAATTCGCCCCAAGGCAGGTGAGCGCATACATGCCTTCTCGGTTTACGAGCCGGGGCGTTTGGCCCTGCAACCACCTCAACCCGGCGCTACACCCGCCTCGTGTCGCGCCCCGCGTTTTTCACCAGCACCTCTGACAACGCCACCCTGGACCGGCCGTGAAAGGCTTCGCATCCCAGGCACGTGTGGCAAAAGACCCTCCCTGGATCCCCGGCACACAGTTTACCAAGCCCCCGAGTCTTCCAAACCCTACGTCGACGGCCCGCTACCCGGACATGGTGTTGCATGACAAATCACCGGTCCACCGCGCCGCGACTCCAGTAACGCCTAGTATCCACCCAAAAAACCCGCGGCCCCCCCGGGCACACCGCACCACGTTGGTTAGCAGCAGAGACCGAACTCCCCACAACTGCATAAACATACCAGTCCGAACTGGAATTGGGGCCGCCAAGTCAGCCCGAGCATTTTGTGGCGGACCCTCCCGTGATGGCCAGCTGGTTTAGCGGAGCTATTCTAGATTGAGCTGAGGGGTGCTGGCTGATATGTCGCCAGCGACCCTTCCGCTACCTGCGAGCGTTACCGGAACGGAGGACGCAGCCGACCATTAACGCCCCCGCCCGCGGACCCGCGGCCAAGACCCCGATGGCTTCACGGCTAGCTGGCCCCATCACATGACGTGGAACGCGGGCAGCGACGGATCGCCACAGGTGCCTAATTCGGGTTCGTTGAATCTAGGCTTGGACCATACGGGATTCTTTGGTTATAGAACAGCGGGGTTATACAGTCGCAGGAGGGACGCCATTTCATCGATACCTATCTTCACGGTACCGGGCATAATGGTTACCTGGAAGTCCGTTGAAGGAGCGGACCAGGACGTGGATGTACGCGGAAAACCCTGCTGGGAAGGCGCCGGACCTGCCCCGGCACTATACCAATCCAACAAATCAAACACTCCAGCGCGTCCGGTGATGATGAGTGGCTGATGGCGACTCCCCCCGCCCCCTCCCTCAACAAATTGCCGACCTTTCCCACGGGCGCGACCGCCTTGCGACACCCCTCAGAAGAAGAGCCCCCCTGGATCCAACCGTGAGGCCGCCCGGAAATATCAATGAGCAGAATGCGCTCCAGCGACTTGGAATTCAGGTCACCCCGAGAGTCCGGCCATCTCTCGTCTTTTCCTCCTCCTCCCCTCCGTCTGCATGTCCGCCTCATGCCCCCTCTCCCTTCCCCCCTCTGAGAGAGACTCCAACTCCGTCTCCCGCGTGGCACCCCCATGTACCCCCCCTCTCGTCCCCACCCTCCAAACTATCAGGGCTGCGAGCGCACTCTTGCCCGCCCTTCGATCATCGCGGGCGAGCACGTTGTCATGGCTTATTATCTTTCATGCGTCC